CACTCTAACCCTGAGCCACAACCCCAACCCTCACTTGTAATTTCTAAGGAAATTACTCAATCTGGATAGTTGATCTTCCACAATTGTCAACCCTCTAAATGTACAATGTTTCTAACTGATTTCTTAGATACAATTTAACTTTTTCTAATTGATAATAGCAATGGTCCAAGATCTTGATTTCTTTAAATAAATAAAATTTTATATATTTATCATTTGTCATTTATTCACAAAGACATAGTAAGCTAAGTAGTAACCAAAGTCAGCTCAGCAAAATTTCTTATAAATCAAAGCAAAAGCATGATTCTCCTGTGTCTCACCATTCAGAGAAGTTTTAATAATATTCTTCATTGATGCTATGTCCTCTGCTTTTTAGAATTCTTATGATTTCTGTTTTACTAATAGTGAATCATGGCTATGTCTTCATTATTCTTCAGTTTTTCTTCAATAATACCAGTTCACTTTACATAGCATACAAAAGAGACCATAATTCTATGATTTTGTTATTCTATTTTTTATAAGATTACACTAAAGTTGCACATCATAGCTGACCTTTGTAATACACTTAACCCTTAATGAAAATTGGCATTTATTTGCAATAGTATTCTATTTGGCCAATCAATTTGTATGGATTTGGTCTCCATTCACTCATTCAATAAATATACACATTATACTGGGACACTTAAATATATCCATATCCATATCCATCTATCTATTTGAACACATAGAAAGGGGATCTTAGGCTCCAAAGGGCTAACTAATTGCAAAGATAACTTGTGCAACACTCTGTTGTCTAATTCTCCCACCTTTGTGTTAAACTGTCACCATAAGACAGAATGCAATTTCTCTCTGCCATGAGTCACTTGTCCTTTTCTTTCTTTATGTATTATTATTATTTTATTGTTATTTTAGCCTGTGTTACCTATCTCTTTTTCATTGCTTCTTGATTAGTTTTTGCAAAGGTTTTTCTTTCATAGACATTAACAGTCTTATTAGTCAAATAATTTTACTTGAAATAATTGATACTCAGCTTTTCAAGGCTCACACATTCTACATACTAGGGGTTTATAAGTTCCTTGTTTGCTACTACCATTGTTAACAAGTTTCAGATAATGAGATATTTGAATGAGTATTCTAGAAAGCTTATCTCCACATAGCCAAACACACACACACACACACACACACACACACACACACACACAATCTCTGCATCTCTGCTTATGTATGCCATGTTTCATGTTTGGAGTTAATAAATTCAAGTTCTAAGGTCAAAACTACTAAATTCTGTAGCTGAAAGATGATCTATGTAAGATATCCTTATTACATTATTATGCCACACATTGATGCTAAAGTTGATAGCAAACTGATAGATTCTAAAAAGATCCATTTGCTTTATAATATGAAGAATATTGTAAGTTGCCTTTCATTTAAATAAAAATAGGTTCAAAATTTCAAATTGTATTTTATATACTTATGTATTATTAATTTCTTGGCATCTTTCTAGTTAGTTTTACTGGTTTATTCAACAGATACAGCTGTACAAAAATAAAAAGTAGAAGATGAGAAGAAAACACAAAATACAAAAATCTGATTTTTAAAGATCATATTATTAAATGAGACCTCAAGTAAAATCTTTAGTTGAAATTGTTGCTAAAATAATAAAAATTCATCTAGAAATAAAGGTATTGATACGTTCAAAAGAAATATACATTATGTAAATTTAAGATTATAATTCTAATGAACTACTTAGTAAAATAAATTTGTTTTTTTCATTGCAAAGAAAAAAAATGTACTCCAAAATTTTAAATTGTATGTCTAGCATGAGTCAACACAGAAAAAAAATCAAGTTTACACATATTAGTGATGCAGAGCAGTCTGGGAATTAAATTTGCAATTTTAGGATGAATACAGATTTTTGAGCACTATTGTAAGTCATTCAAATAATAAATTGAAACTCATCACAAATGAGATCTTAAACTCCATTCATTCATCCAATAAATATTTTTTCTTACTATGTGTAAAACATTACAGGTGGATACAATGAAAAATAAGACATGGACTTTGCCCTCAAGGGGCTTACAGTCTAGTATGGAAAAAAAATAAACAAGCACATAAATAGCCATAACATAATGCAGAAAGTGATGTGTCATAAGAAAAACTCAAATAATATTCTATGGGAGTTATTAATACCAGAAGACTTTTGTTTGTAATCTATATTGTGTAGCCAATAAAAGTAAACCAATGATTATAGTTTGTAAGTTAAATGCTGAATTTTGTGACTCTATGAATGAAAAAAGGCTTCAATATTAACACAGTTTAAATCACCATTCACCAGTTCTTAAAAATGTTTGATCATAGGGTAATAACCCATTAGAAATACCATTTTCCATTGCTTATAAATAGATGCAAATGGAATGGGATAGCCATTAGAAGTGAAATGATCATTTAAATGAAATAAAGGTTCAAATCAATTGTATAAAATACTCATGACACATTACTTTCTTGCATAGAAATTGGCTCGGTCAGATTAAAGTGATGAAGAATTCCTCGATGGCTCAAGTGTGCTCCAAGGAAAGCTAGAAGGTTGTACAGTTAACTCCCAGGGTGTAACTCTAAACCATACAACCTACTACCTCAACCCGGATGCACACAGCTTCCAATGTTTCTTCAAACTCCTTATCATATCTTCAGTCAGCTCCTCCAAATATGGCAGCCATATACCTAAAGGCTTGGCAAGGGTGCAGGTATGATTCTAGCATTTTACCAATAAATTTAAAATGTGTCTCATAGGACTATTCTAACCTCTTGGACTTCTAGCATTGGTTACCCAAAATGTCTTTTGACATTTCTCCTGTCATAGCAATTAATGATATTAAAACTCAGTAGCATTCTGTCTCATGTTTGAGAAGTAGGCTCAACAATAATATATAAATTCATTTATAGTCTTTAGTTTTCTTGCTGAAGTTGAGGTTAGTACTGAGGTTTCTGAACAGGATCTATTCAGATCTTGTTTCAAAACCTGCTATTAAAAAAAAAATGCAATGTTTTAAAGCAGTTTACTGTACTTGGAATTGAACTTGAAAGGTTGTGCTATAAATGCTTCCAAGTGGCCAACAATTAAAGCCTGCCTTGTAAGACAGAGGAGATTAATATACCAATGACAAGCAAAGGAATAGTAAGTATTTGAAGAGTATTTAATAAACTGGAGTTTAACAGGAATTTACTGATATATCATTAAACAGCATTGTGTATAGTATTTTGTCAGATGACCACACTGACACAGACCCATAGAAGCGAGCTTGTGCGGTCCATTTCACCACAAGATCGGATCTACGGGTTTATGCCAATGGGCAACATCTCTAATGGGCCCCCTATCAATGTAGAATTTGTTGTACATATCTAATGCAATTAGAAAAATAATACTACTGGTCTTTTGTATAAATGTTTTAAACACTGAACTCTAAGGATGCATATTTCAAGTTAAAGGCCTTCATAAATATGCTAAACTACATAGAGGTTTATATACATGAGGATTAAAAAATAGTTTATTGAATGATTTTTCCCAGATTGCTTTTGTTTTAATAGTGAATATTTTGAAATCTAACTATTCTAATTATTGATGAGTTTTAAGGGAAAAAAAGAATCCATACATGCATATATAAACTATGCAATTGTGATGCTGGAAAGTAGTATTCTGAGCCTACAATTAAAATCAAATTAACTATTAAGTTAATTGTATATGAGCTAGAGTGCTTCTTTTAATTCTTACAAAGCACTAGTTACTAGTTTTAAGAGATTAGTAACATGAGTTTCTCATAAAGCAAGTAAGATCTTGTTGACTAGGTAGAGAACACACAAAATTATTATAAATCCTAAATATATACATATGTATGTACAACTGGAACGAAACTAAAATTTACAATATTTGGATAAATTAGCATTCGAAAACTAAAGTCAATGACTCGTTAACATCACTGCTATTTCGTATTAACTAACGTTTATACTCCAGATGCATTAGATCAATGAGGATATCTTGTCTCTTAAACAAAATACATTTCATTTTATTTTCTAAAAAAATATATATTTAAAACAAAATATATGCCTACATACAACTGTCAACAGGTTGGACAAAAATAAATTGCTTCCCAAAATTGTTTTAAATCACTAGATGACAAGTAAACACACAAATGAATATAAAGCCAGTCACATACACATTTTTTTTAAGATGCTAAGCTCAACTGCAACAAAATTACAAGTTGTATAATCATTAATTGTTTCACTCCTCTGTGCATTTTGCTTTTCTTAATTATACCTTCACTGTAAAAAATAATACTGCACAGTAATTATTTTATGATTTTGCATGTTTTGAAATAAACATAATACATTGTATTTTATAGACTATAAAGATAATTTGGATCTACATAATTTTTCACCATTATTTACTTTCAAATTGTTCCCATGCTTATTAAAAACTATTGTAAATGGTAATTGTGCATTCACTTTTGTTAAAAGTATTTCAACATGTATTTATAAATTTAGATGTGAAAAAAGGCAATATTGGTTTCAGGTTTTATCACTTAAGAATGTGTATTTGGTTTTACTATCTTACTAGCTCATGTAAAAAAGATAAAAAGCACAATTTTATTCCTTCCCCCCAGATTTCACTTTCTCTTGTATGGTACAACAAATGAAAAAAATACAATTTTCCATTTTCTTAAGTAGCTTTCTATTCAACCGTATTGCACCTATATTATATGAATGGATATACAGATATACATTCAAAGTGATGTAAACTGGACATTGAGTACAAATTGAGGCAAAAAATAATATTTTTCATGAAGACAGATACTATAAATTCTCAAATGAAAATCATCAGTGAAAATTCAAACAGCTCGATTCACAAAGAATACGAAAAGAATTCTTAGAACTAAACACAGTTAAGAGAATTTTGTTGCTTCTTCAAAAAATTATCAATTAATTGCTCTTTTGTTTTTTGTTTTTACCTGAGATGGTTTTCTCCTATGATCACTTTCTTCACTTCTCATATCCATTTTAAGTTTTTCCCTAAAACAACCACAAAAGGAGAAATATCAGACAACTGCTATCTAGGAAGAGCACCAGAGTGGATGGTGGGAATGAAGGTAGACGATCAAGAAGAAAACACAGTATCTCAATGGCAAAACCTTTTCAAGTATTAAAAAAAAAAAAAAGGCTTGAAGACTGAGGGCCCCACCCAAGGCTACTCATATGACATATAATGTGGTTTTAGAGTTTGCATTTGTGCATTTGCCTGGGTTGGTGGTGTGTTCACAGTAACAGTTGTGAAAGTGAAAGGAGATGGCTGTTAAAGAGGCGACTAGGTTTTGCACAAAGAGGTAGTAAAAGCTGAAAAGAGATTTGGATTTGGCATGGAGCTTAATAAGATAATTAAGAGTGTAGAGATTAATGGCTCCTAAAAATAACATTTAAAATAATGTTTTTTTTAACTAAAGGATCTTGAACCATAAAGACAGTTTTATCAATATTAATTAAGCTTTTGAAAGTTGGTTTTCCATTAGCTGAGGCAGCACACAGGAACAAGAGCTGTTTTGTAAATAATCAGTGAACAATAAGCAATAAACCTGATAAAACATTTTATTTAAAGGTTATCAGTAGGTGAGGTTCGTGTAATTTCCCATAATTCTTTGTAGGATTACAAAAAAGACAGAATTCATCAGTTCTGCAATATTTCTCTTTGCTTACCTTACATGTTTTAGAATAATATGATTTTAAAAGCATAATGTTTTACCTAAAGTTTATTTTTTATGGAAAAGATCATAGCATCCATCCTTAATATGCAAATTATAGTCTACATTGATATACAGTGTATACTTCAAAAGCATTATCTCTTTTTAAACATTTTTTACATGTTTAAAAATAATTTTTTTATCAAAATTAAAGTGATATGCATCTGCTAATCCTTTCACATCAAACCAGGCAAAACTACAGTTTGTTATAAAATGCTTAAATTGCTAGGAATTTACTTCTGCAAACAGATGATTAATTAGAATACAATGCATTTATCTGTTGAGCCAATACGTTGCTTTAAACTTAAGACAAGTTAGTTAGTATGTACTTTCTCCACTAAAATATCTACTAGATATTTCCAGCATTCTGTGTAACTGCTCTAGGACAAATACTTCTTTTAAAATGTATTTTAAAATACAGTGTTATTAAGGAACAAGCTTCTTTTCTACCTAGCTACTGAGAACATGATCTTTTCATCCCTATTTCTATTCGACTGAAATCCTTGTAGATAATTTAACTATAACTTCCCTCAAACAAATATTATTTGTCAGTATTTTAATACATATCCCAGTCTGATCTTTTTTAGTTCAAAAGTTTCTTCATTCACCTTACAAATTATAAATCCCATGAAAGACTTTTTACATTTTTACCAACAAGGTCTAAACACTTATTTTTCTTAGCAGAAACTAATACTGGACACAAAAAGCATACTTAACATGTTAATGTCTTTCTAAAACTTTGGTGTATAACAAAAGAAAAACATTTTCAGAGATTTATCTATTTTTACTTTAGTTTCTATTCTAATCAAGATTAGAGCAAGAGAGTAAAAGAAAAAAAAGTTTAGAGTAAAGTGTGTGATGAGTTAAATGAGAGTAAACGGAAAGTTCAAGGATCCCTTTTTAAAACAGTAGGTTTAAGAAGAAACAACAACAAAAAAGTTATACCTGATATGAAAGGTGCGATTTCACCAAGAGCAATGTATTGTTAATTATGCCATATTTTTTGAAATCATAAAAATAAAGAAGGCTCATTTGATTATGTTGCCTTAAAAGCTGCTTTACCAAGCCCGAAGTCTCTGTAGTTATACAAGCCAATGTTTGCTTTTTTTTTTTTTTTTTTTTTGATTTGTTTTGGTTTGGATTTTTGTTTGTTTTTGTTTTTGTTTTTTTGAGTAGGAGTCTTTCATATATTTTTTTTTCAAAACTCTTGCATGAAGTAAGACAATTTTTTTTCTTCAGGGCTCCTGTTATTTCTTAGCAAAGAAGGACGAGAGTGCTTGTCTTCTTTCTCTTCCTTCTCTGTATTCCAGGCACAAAGCACTGCGCAGAAGCTGCACCAATCCTTGCCGTCACTGGCAGCAGAATGGTAGAAGGTGGGAGAGACCAGGAATCCTTCCGGGCTGTGCTGACTTTAGAAATGAGGACTGCACACGTTTCTCTCCCGAACCAAAGGGGTGAAAAGGCAGGATGCCAGTTTGCTACACGGCTGCAATGATCTCATGCTCACTGCTGCTGTCGTCCTGTTTGCCCAGTTCAAATGCCTGTTCATTATAAACCAAAAAAATAAATAAATAAATAACCCAACTACTTGGATTCCTCAGCAAGCAGAAAGGGTATTAACATAAAAAAAAAATCAGCAGGGAAAAGACAAAAAACAAAAAGCACACAAAATTTTAGAATTCACTTGTTATGCCTCAATATTCTGTTATTATTTTTCTTTTTTGTTTTTTTTTTCCTCCCTTCTCTCTCTTTTTAGAGATAAGCAGCAGAATTTATCAGGCGTGAAAGGGACAGCCTCCTGGTGGCCTGCCAAAAACCCAGAATAAAGGCGAAGTTGTGCTTCAAAGCTCAGTTGCTTGCTGAGTCTGGCTAAAGTCAAGTATTAAGATCCACCATTTTCTGAGCCATGCTAGAAAAGAAGAAAAAAGTCAGGACCGTTGCTGCTTTCCAAGTCTCCGTTGGCACCATCACAAAATCTCAGTCGTAAGGTCACATGATTCTCTGCCAAATGTAGAGTGCATTCCCATCAACCATTCTGCTGATACTGCGAAGGCAGCTATTGTCTCCTTTAGACCCAAAGTTCAGCCCACTCTTCATTGAATTAGCTGAAAAACGCATCACCTTTGGGGGCTGGGAGTCATGGAAACGTCTACCTGGCAAGCTGCCCACTTTTTCTGCCCATCAACCAGAGATGGAATTGTGCTGCCTAATGCAATGATGACTTGGAATGTGAAGAGTCGTCCAAAGTGAATCTGATTCTTGCAACGCCTGTTTCGTTTGCACAGAAAATCCTGGCTTCTTGTAGTTAAGAGGGGGGAAAAATCTTTCCTACCCAAAGTGGCAAATAAAGGTCTGAACATGCCTACTCTGCAACTTTATTTCTTCACACACCCAAATGGTTCCCAAATGAAAAGACGGGAATGCCCCGAAAGTTTTCTGTGTAAAAGGCATCCCTTCTTCTGTCTCCTTTTCCTCACAAGTGAATGCAAAGCCTGGAATGTTTGTTTTAGTCTCTCACTTTAAGATTTAAAAAAAAAAAAAATTCCTTGAGTTGTCTTCTTGCTTCTTATTACTTTTTGATTTTTATCTAGCACTACTTTTGCACTACATGGCCACCAATATCCACTAGCAACAGTGGGTATGCATTATTGCTGCAGTCTACAACAAAGTGGTCCCCGGAGAGGGCCAGTTGTCTCTTCAACCACACAAAACCCTGGGTCCTGGTAATCCTCATCAGTACCTAGCACACAGCTGCTGTGCAAGTTTGCTGAGATTGACACATGGGAGAAGTGTTCTTTCTGTTTCTTCACTGGCTACAGTTTGTCTGTGTGGCATGAAAGATGCCTTTGAAAGATGCAGGGAGTATACCAACAGCTCTTAGGCAATAAAATAAAATGGTTCCCCCTCCCCAGTGAGTTTCCATTCCAGCATGCAATGAAAGTTCCCATGTACAAACATTTCCACACTTTCTAACAAAAGTGGAGTGAATTAAATCTTTCACAATTTCATTAAGCAGAATCTAAAGCCAAGAAGGAAAGCAAGTATTGTTAATATTTAAGCCAAATACACTGAATAGTTCTAAAAAGAACCATGTTCTACTCTATTAAAAAATGTTTTTGTGATAATTGATGAATTTTTTTTTCAGAAGAATAAATGGCTTTTCAGAAAAGTTTAAAAGTACATTCAGTGTCTTTCCAAAGTGATGAATTAATGAGGAATTACCTTTCCTCATATATACAAGCATACATTGAACAATACATGACAAAGTTTAAAAAGATAATCAAACCATGACATGCCCAATGAAAGCAAATAATATGAAGTTTTCTGAGATCTAGAAAAAGTATTTCTAAAAACAGTCTATGGTCTTTTGTATGCCATGTCCCTCAGTTCTCTTTCAAGTGAGAAAAGCTCACTACTAAACCAAAGTGTTATAGGTCATGAAAGAATATTTATTGGAGATAAACTCCTCAAGAAACAAACTGGTAGAAATTGGAACAAAGAAGTTAAATGGATATTAAAATATAAATTACAGATGGAGAATTTTTCTGTCCAAAGTTTTAACTTTTTAATACAAAATTCATTAATTAGTGAATATTGTATGATTCTCTCCTAATTAAAAAATGAATTAAAAAGAAACAGGAAACTTTTGCTCCCAAGAAGATGTAATACACATAAGATTTTCATAATCCTCCCACTAGGTTCAACTAAAATCCCTGGATATTAGATATGAATAAATATAAGGAAAACACTGAAAGATAAAGAGAAGTTGATAAACAATCTATGGGGTTGCATGACCCAAGAAATAGCTTGGTGGTGATTTATTTCAATTTTCTTTTGCCACAGATATCCTACACTTCAAGCTGAAAAAGGCTGCAACCCAGAAATGCCAAATGTTATAGAAAAATAAATAAATAATAAACTAAAATTCCAACAAAAGCCTGTTCCTTTTAGTCAAGGGACCAAGAAAGGGGCATCCTACAAAGACAGAAAATTCTAATCCAATACCACACAAGGAACTGTGGGCCCATTTCAACCCACACCTGAAAATGTCAAGCAGGGAGCCTTGAGGCTGACTCTTGTTGAGCTAAAACTAGGTGACCCAAATCCACACCTTCCCCACTCAGACATGGTATGGCCTAAGTCCAAGTAGGGAGCGAGGACATTTATCCCCATAGCAGGGGTGTGGAGTGTTAAACAACAAGTTCCCTTCCTTTTTATGCACTGTCGGCGAAGCCTACAAGAGGAGCCTGGGCCCCACTCCCAACTCAAAAATAAAGAGACGTCTCTCTAGACCCGCCTCCCTACTGAAGTGATATTAGAGGATGATTTGTAGAGAATCTCGATGTTAGAAACTGTCCAGCAATAACAAGGCTACCCCTCTATTCCTGGGCACCCGAGTTCATGGAGGCTACCATAGTAGTCCCTCCTACAAAGGAAGTTAACAAAATACTTCCAATCAGGGAGGTGTCAGTAGAGAACTATCCAGGAACAGAAACTGTCACCCTCATCTCGGAGTGACTAGGAACTCTTGCATTTCAGTGTCAGTGGGGGCCAATCAGAGAAACCCTAGACTTGTTTTACTTCTGGCAATGATGAAGTGGCCTATCCCCGCCCCCCCCCCTCTGCTGGAGTGAAATGAAAGGAATCCAGGTACAAGAGAAGATTTAAATAAGAATGAGAATCTCATACATAATACCCACAATGTCCAGATTTCAATTAGAAATTATTTTTGATGCAAAAAATAACCAGGAAGATCTCAAACTGAATTTTTAAGAAAGACAAGTAATACAGACACCAAGATAATAGAGCTATTAGTATTATCTCACAAAGATTTTAAAGCATCCATCTCATTGAAAATGTCTTAATGAGCAACTATGGATATGGTTGAAGTAAAACCATTAAAAAAATATTAGCAAAGGAATAAATGATAAAAAGAATAATCAGATAGAAATTTTAGATCAAAAAATTACAAAAAAAATTGATATTTTGAATGGATGTACTCAACTGAAAAGTAAAGACAGCAAAGAGTTAGAAGATAAAACTAAATAAATGACCCAATCTGGTACAGAAACAAAATATACTTAAAAAAAGGTAAACAGACATAATTAACTGTGGAACTATGATAAAAGATCAAACATTTGTGTCATTATTACTTCCAAAACAAAAGGAGAAATAGAATGGTCTTTTAAAATGCCTAAAGAAATAACTGCTGGAAAATTCCTAAATTTAGCAAAAGACATATATATTCAAGAACCTATGCAAGTGCAAACCCAATGAAATCTATACCAAAACCAATGACAATCAAATGTATTTAAATTAAAGACAAAAAAAAATCTTGAAAGGAGCAAGAAGATAGTACAACCTTACCTAATGTGGAAAAATAAGTGTGATAGTGGGGTTTTTACAGGAAACCACACAGGCCAAAATAAAGGGGCACAACACTTTCACATGCTGAAAGAAAAAACTGTCAACCCAGAATCTTATATCCATGGATAAGATACTTTAGAAGTGAAAAAGAAATCAGGATATTTTTAGTTCAAAAAAACTAACAGAATTTTTCTCCAGCAAACCTACCCTAAAAGAATGACTAGGGAGTTGTCAACACAATTGATAACAGAAGGAAACATGGAACTTTATAAAGGAAAAAAGAATGCCATAACCACATATATGGTTAAATATAAGAGATTTTCCTTCTCTGAAATTTTCTAAATCATGTTTGATGGTAGAAACAAAAAATGTAGCACTGTCTGATGTGGGCCTAAACATAAACATAGAAAATATTTAAGACAATTATATTATAAATATATTAGTAAAGATACAAAAATCGAAGTTAGGTACTTTAACAGAATTGGCAAAATGAAGACATAGGATGACTATCAAAGTTGTAATTTATGTAATGTAAAGCATAAAGCAATCACTAATAACATGTTGGATTTGGCCTTGATTTCCTTAAGAAGACTCTTATAATGCAAAAAATAAAATCAAGAATCAATAAATGGGATGGATTCAAACTGAAGAGCTTCTTCTCAGCAAAAGAAACAATCAGGTGAACAGAGAGCATCCAGAATGGGTGCAAATTTTTACTACATGCACATCAGAGAGTGCACTAATCTCTAGGATATATAAAGAGCTTAAAAAACTTAACATCAAATAAAAATCCAAACAACCCAATCAGTAAATGGGTCAAAGAACTGAACAGACACTTCTCAGAAAATGATATGCAATCTACCAACAAACATATGAAAAAATGTTCAACATCTCTAGCAATTAGAGAATTGCAAATCAAAACTACTCTAAGATTTCATCTCACTCCAGTCAGAATGGCAGCTATTAAGAATACAAACAACAATAAGTGTTGGCGAAGATGTGCGGAGAAAGGCACATTCATACCTTGCTGGTGGGACTACAAATTGGTGCAACAAATATGGAAAGCAGTATGGAGATTCCTTGGAAAACTTGGAATGGAACCATCATTTGATCCAGCTATCCCACTCCTTGGTCTATACCCAAAGGACTTAAAAACAGCATAATACACAGCCAC